CTATTTGCCTACCGGAATAATCTAGACTACTACAGAATTCAGATTGTTAGGCAAAAAGCTGATTGTTAGGCACCAATTACATAGTTTTTATACAGGTAGGCTTTAATTTAGCTCCACAGATACTACAGAATTCAGATTGTTAGGCAAAAAGCTGATTGTTAGGCACCAATTACATAGTTTTTATACAGATAGGCTTTAATTTAGCTCCACAGATACTACAGAATTCAGATTGTTAGGCAAAAAGCTGATTGTTAGGAACTAATTGCATAATTTTTAGACAGGTAGGCTTTAATTTAGCTCCACAGATACTACAGAATTCAGATTGTTAGGCAAACAGCTGATTGTTAGGAACCAATTATATAATTTTTAGACAGATAGGCTTTAATTTAGCTCCAGAGATACTACAGAATTCAGATTGTTAGGCAAAAAGCTGATTGTTAGGAACTAATTGCATAATTTTTAGACAGGTAGGCTTTAATTTAGCTCCACAGATACTACAGAATTCAGATTGTTAGGCAAACAGCTGATTGTTAGGAACCAATTATATAATTTTTAGGCCGATAGGCTTTAATTTAGCTCCAGAGATACTACAGAATTCAGATTGTTAGGCAAAAAGCTGATTGTTAGGAACTAATTGCATAATTTTTAGACAGGTAGGCTTTAATTTAGCTCCACAAATACGACTGGATTCATATTGTTAGGCAAAATCTGATTGTTAGGAACCAATTACATAATTTTTAGGCTTTTATTTAGCACCCCCTCCAGAAAACACATTAAACAATTAAAACTGTCGCCGTATCAAATCGCGGCTGAAGTAATTAATAAACAAATCTATTGAGAAGTTAAACACAACAGAAGAGGATCAGATATATTTGAAAAAAAAAAAGACTAGTCGGCTGTATAAAAAGTGGTTTGTAACCTTTTATTTTATTTGTTTCACAGATGTTATATATATAAATGCATATATTTAGATTGAAATTAACTTAACAGATGCTAATCAAGTTGCTTTGTAAGCTGTTTCGGTTGTAGGCCGAAGTGAGGAAATGAAACTACAGCATAAAAGCATGAATTCTTAGTCCTCTTGAATGGCAACGAATGAGTGATATTATAGGATGTTACAGGATAACGTGATATCCATTCAAATTATATTTAAAAAAACATTACACTCGCAAAATGAATCGTATGAGGACTAAATATATGGCTCTTCTTAAGAGGGTTGATGAAATGACTTCCTCTTAATAGTTTACGCTGGCAAGGCATCAGGGATAAATGATAAGAACTGAAGTGAGTTCAAGTAGGTTTTTCATACGGAATTTTCTAAAAATGCACCAAATAATTTTCAGAAGTAGACGCTCTGCCTACATTGCTAAGAACAATTCCCCAATGATACATTGATTGAAATAGTCTGATGACGGAAGTGATGCAGTCAGATCATTTCACTTGATGAAAAACTATATAGAACTCATGCAGATATGGCTGTATGGGCACAGTGCCCTTTGCCTTTCCTTCAAAGGATAAACAAAAAAAATATATATTGAATAATGTACAATTTCTGAAGCAATATTACCTATTGGTTATAACTCCATAGAAAATAATTTTCCTGCTATATTCTTAACAGAAATACGAGAAAGACGGCCCAAGTGCCGACTTTAATTATTAATATTTAGATACTTCCATAATAATATTTTTATGTATTGTACCGAATATAGTATAAATACCGAAAATATCCGAAAACTTTAAAGCTACACAAACTAATGTCGAAGTTACAATATTTAAAATTATAACATCTCTTTTTAAACATTCCATTTAATGACTTCCAAATTTGAAATTACTTTATTTTTTATTTTTATTTTCGTATAGGAAAGGCAAAATGATTACATCCACCCAGCCATATTGGGTTATATGTTTATAGTGTTTAATGTCCTTCTATTTTTTTTTTAATTTGCATAACTACATTCTTATTTGAAAAATGTAATAATGACAAAATATAGAGTCAATAAATCCCTATTAAAATTGCGAAGGTGTAAGTTTACCTTTTAAATCGTAATACCTTTTTCGTATAGTCAGACGGCCGTGAATCTACACTGTATTAATAATACATATTTTGTTGAATTTAGATTATTTTAGATTGTATATAATTTGATTGTGAAACAAACTATTAATAAGCCTATGTACTTATAGGATAATTATTGTTACGCGTTATATTACAACATTCTTTATTATTTACCTCGATACATAATTATTCATGCAATAAACTGTACACATATTACTAGAGTGTTACTGTGAAATTAGTATATCCAATGTTATATCACATATTGTACACCATTTTCAGAAAGAAATTAAACTATATAATATTACTTATCTTAATCAGAGCTAAGAAAAGTATCGAAAAGTAACTTTCTCATACAACTGGGATGAGTACAACAAACTAAATAATATATTTAATTATATTATAATAATTGCATTATTATACTATATTATAAACGTCACAGTATAATATTATGCTACCCGTGACCTTCTCATGTATAACGACTACAACTTACACAGAAAAGCAAATCACTAATCATAGACAATGTTTTAGTAAAATATTGAATACAATGTAAACAGTTATTATTTGTTTACTTTTAAGCGTAAAATTGAAACACTTAAAAGTAAACTAGTAATAACTTTTTACATTGTAATTGAATAATTCTATTAAAACATTGTCTATGATTAGTAATGTCATGATATTCAGTAAATATTACGAGATAAATACTAGTATTTTCTTAATTCATATACTTACGCGTAAATCGTGTCTACGAAATGCAAAAATTAATAACTAGAACCATAATAAAATTAAAATTATAAAATTTTTATAAATTCAGTTTCTTAAATTAAGAAATAATTAATAATTCTAATTTACTTACATAACGATAATTATTGTTTACTTTTGTATATATCCATGATTATCATACCACTGCACTATAATAAAACCTATTTATAACACTAACTTAAGAGAGTACGGACCTATAACGAATCTTTTATTATAATAACAATTACAACATCAAACAAAACCCCACTCAAACGTTACGTACTTTCACAATACCCTCACCTTAATGTAGTCCAGCTCCTGAACTAAATCACCCATGTTGTAACCTTGGTAACGTATCTACATCACACTACAACACTTTCCACCATTAAAAAAATATTTGGTTTAAATGTTGGCACTACACTTATTAGAACAAAATCTATGATGACTCTATGTAACCACATTTAGTATTGAAATATTATAGATACTATAAAAATGTATGCGAAACTATACTTTTTGTATATATGTACTTACTAGTTTGTGCTCTTTTGCCATATAAATTTAAATGGTAAAAAATAGGGTTGGGTGTTAGAGCGGTGAAAATTTATTAGGGTATTTTTAATGCCACTTTAAAAGTTAAATTAATATCTTAATATTATTTTAAAGTTAAAAAATAAAAAAAAATGTTAGTGGACAACCCTTATCACTTAGCAGTATGAAAAATAGTAGCCGATTCCCAGACCTATTGAATATGCATACAAAAGTTAATAAAAATCGATCAAACAGTTTCCGAGGAGTATGGTAACTAACATTGTGACAGGAGAATTTTATATATAATATTACTTTTTTATAACCTTTTTATAATTGACAAACTTCTTGATCAAATAAAATAAAAACTATTATATAAAGACTGAACATAAGTTTCATACCTAACAGTACAGTTTTACATTGTTTTTTTTTATTGTTTACAATTATACACATTGTCAACCCGTGACTATAACGTTTGTAGTGGTTTTCAAATAATTACCTCATAAATTATATATTCCATTGTTCTAAGCGACTTCAATATTAATTATAACTATTCACCTTCAAATTTTCAATACTAAAAACGGTTACACAGTTTCATATAAAAATTATTTTCTTAATACGCAATATTAAAAAACAATATAGACACCGATTCATACAAACTCCGTTCTAAGAGACGCGCGTTGACTACGACCGGAGTACGCGACCGTTTGTTATTCACTGAGCTAACTCCTCATTAGGGTTGCCAATCATAAAACACTTGCTTCGTATGAATAAATAAAAATGGTATTTAGTGTAGAAATAAAGGGTACGTAATATTTACCTCTCCTGACTTTTCGACTAGGTTGCACTAGCCGTTGAAACTTCGAGAGAGGTACCTTTATCTATACATATAAATAAAATTGGAGTGTCTGTTGTAATATTGAAATAACCGTTTTTACTACATGCATATAATAAAAATTCGGTACATTTACAAAAAAAAATTGTGTATCTGTCTGTCTGTCTGATTGTTCCTGCTAATCTCTGAAATGGCTGGACCGATTTTGAGGGGACTTTTTTGGCAGGTAGCTGATGTAACAGATAAAGTTAAATTTCAAAATTATTCGTTGACGATATAAATAATGTGTATTAAATACGAAAGTATTATTAAAAATAACTTTAGAAATAAAAAATCAAACAATATCCTCTAGTTGATTATCCCAATTTTTCTTGGCTCTCTAACCTCGTACATCATAATAGTTTACTTTTCCAAGGACAAAATTTCGTACACAGTTGTAAGAGGATAAAAATGTAATCGTACCAAAGGCCTAGGGTTGCTAGCAACCATTGTACCATATCAGGGCGACCTCCACACGGTTCCCCATGAAAACCATCGTGGTAAATTCCTGGTGCTTTCATCACGATGGGCTAACTAACCCGAACTCATTGTCATCTTATCATCCTCATGTAATAAAAAAAAATACTCCAGTGGTACCCTATCGTTAAACTGTTACTGCAGGCGGGTGCACCATTCCATTATACAAATATAGAAACCAAGACCAATACAAACAATCGTACTCATGAATACAAATGTTTGCATCGTGCCAGGAATCGAAGTAATCCATCCAGACCATTGAAAGTAAGATTGTGTGCTAAATCACCGAGGTCTTTACAAGTATCCATACAGTTGGTATCCCTGGCTCCTTACCTTGTTAGGATGCGCGTCCTCCAGTTCCAGCACTCGGAACTCCATGAGCTCGAGTTGGTCGCGCGCGTCACGCAGTTCATCAGCAAGGCGCGTGCATTCGCGCGCTGCCACCGACGCGCGCTCAGCTGCCGCGCGGCACTGACCGCATGACTGCGGACGGGGTCGTTGTTAATTGTAGTATTACACACATTGTATATCTATTACTTATTCTGTATATTAGATCTATGTTGTTGTTGAAAGAAAAATTAAAATGTTAAATCTTAGTGGCCAATAATAATTTCGTATTGACACATTTTGGGTGAAATATATTCAATTAATTTGAAACGTCAGAAATAACAACATCTCGGGATCAAACTAATCACGGGTATTCTTAATCATTATGTATTTTTCTTTATTTTTTATTGATTTGGAAACAGAGTTTCATGTTATCTCTATAGGATGGTATAAATTTTATTATAGCTTCTATTTCTAATGTATTGTACCTAATGATCTATTATACGGCTTTTTACCGAATAATTGACTAATATTGTCTGTCCACAATAGAATGGCTGTGTAATTGGCCACCCTACATCACAATAGAGCACAATGCATGTGACGCAACCTCCGAGCACCAATAGTTTAGTAGGTGACAATACGTTTACTATGCCGTAAGCCGATCTGGCATTTTGCAGTCTAGTATACAAGGTCGATCGACTGTTTAGTTATTTACCTAAAACAGGGAATCCAAACCTTCTCTACCAAGAAACGAAAGAAAATCTAAAAAGGAGTTTTGAAATTATCGTACTAAACTGATCACGTGATCGTGTAGTTTGTATGAAGGTTTTAAACAATATTTTTTTTACATTACATTTTCCTTATTAGAATACTATAAATTGACTGAAATTTATTTAAAAAACATGTTATTAGTCAATTGACTGACTCGTTCTATATTGTGACTTAGAATACCAGCCTTTTTTTCTCTTGTGGTTCTTGTCATGCCATTCACCCCGATTTTAGGGTATTTCGCCAAAAACAAAACGGGGAAACGTCATTAATTTATATCTAGCAACGAAAATTTTGTGAGTTTTGGATAAGGATTAGGTTAAGAAATAGAGTAGGGAAAAGGATACGGATGGATCTGAGATGTTTTAAAAAGGAAGAGTAAAATACCAGCCTTATCCCCGACTAAACCACGTTGATGTTGATACTATTTAACACATAATTTGAAAATTCGAATTAGGAATGAATAATTTGAAAATGGTTTTTTTTTTACTCATATATTTAAATTTAGTAGACCACTGTTTGGGATCAAGTGACCTAGACACTATATAAGTATGCAGTTTTGTAATTAAACAAATTTAAAAATGGCGGATACCTCAGCCAGCACCCACAACGCGTAGGCTGAGTCCGTAAATGGAAGAGAATGCTTGTTTACCGCGCTTTAATTATAGTGGGTTTATTTTTTTTTGTCGTAGAATGTTATGGTATGATCGTCCATAAAGATCATATTTATCTTGTTTAAAATATTTCGTTAATATACATGTTAGTATTACTTTATATGGTGTTACTGTTTATAAGTTTTCAGATTTATATCTATACTAGCTTTTGCCCGCGGCTTCGCTCGCGTTATTTTATCCCCTTAGGGGTGGAATTTATCAAAATCCTTTCTTAGCGGATGCCTACGTCATAACATCTACCTGCATGCTAAATTTCAGCCCGATCCGTCCAGTGGTTTGGGCTGTGTGTTGATAGATCACTATATCAGTCACCTTTGAGTTATATATATTTAAGATATTATGCTTAAAAGTACTCATAAAAATACACGTTCAATGATGTTCTGATAGCTTAAATGGAAACAAATTTTATGAAAACACTTTATCATAATACCATAGACGATATTTTTATTCTAATTGAGGCCGGCCAGTGCCATTGGTTTTTAAAAATATACATACATAATTCGTTGAGTTTTCATTACGAAAAAAACCAAATCAAATAAAAAATAATTTATTTATATAGGATGTTTTAGCCGCTTATGAACGTCAATATTTTAAGTATAATTTTTCCCTACCGTCCAGTTCAGTATACAGATTCAATTCAGAACAACTGGCAAGAACCTCAACTGATTTTTTTTTCTAAGCCAGTTTATTTACATTATATCTATGTCTAACATTAAATGAAGATACTAAAAGATATACCTACCCACATGTCGTTGAGCGGTTGGGGTGACAACGAGGCGGGCGCAGAGGACACCGCTGAATCCTCGTCTGAAGGGGGCTCCTGTTAACATATTATATGACAACTAATATAAAGAAATAGATACATAAAAAAATACTATAATGATTTAAATTAAATGATTCCTTTTGTGAAAAATGTTATCGTACATAGTATGTGGTTGAGTCTTTTAAAGTTTCTAACATTTTGTCATCTTTTACATTATTGCATGTCAATATTGGGAACGTAGATTATTTACAATATGAGCATGCCAATTATTTATTAATGAAATATTTATTTGTTATACATATCAATTATTTTAATTTGAAATACTCCTATACATCTAATAATGAAAAATAGTCTCCTATAAAACAGTACTAATTTTCTCGGTTTCCTTCAGCTTATATGATGAGCTATATTTTAGCATTTACCAACATATTCTATGAACATTTTATCCTAATTGATGATTTATCCAGCTGTATTTACATGGAACCTTAAAACAAAACAAACTAATAGATCAAAAGACAGCTCGTAAACTATTTGACAATTTTATTATATGTGAAGGTAACAAAAATAAATATTACATGAATGCACTGTATTTTTAAATTTTTTTTAATTTGATTAATGTAAATTTGTTAACTTCAATCAATTTAAGTAATAAAAATATTAATTTCAATTAATATAATTAATGTAAATTTATTAACTTCAATTAATTTAAGTAATAAAAATATTAATTTCAATTAATATAATTAATGTAAATTTATTAACTTCAATTAATTTAAGTAATAAAAATATTAATTTCAATTAATATAAATAATGTAAATTTATTAATTAAATTAGTTTAATTAATGTAAATTAATTTGAATAGGTGTTCACTACTAACCCTATAGAAGGTTTCCTTTCTGTGTTGTATATCTGTTTTCAAATCTTCACGGTTACTCTTCTCTTTTCCCTGTAACAAAAAAATGACTAAATAAATATTTCTATTAGTTATATAGTACAAGCTCTGCTTAATATGTAACTCCATGTCGTTGTGTGAGCTATCCTAGGGTTTTAATAAATTAAAATCATATTATCACATATTCTTATTAAAACGTAAGATATTTTCTTAAATTGCCGCGAGAGAACTCATGACCTCAATTATTAAAAAAAATATTTTCTATTTACGGAGGATAGGAAGGTATGTAGATACATATGTATTTATGTCAATGTTTCCTTTGTCTATCTGATCAAGGATATAATGCTACGCACGCAACAAAGGAAAATAACTTCATATTTTTTATACTACATACAAAAGGTACCTAGTATGTATATAAAGCGTGATTGTGCATCAGTCGACATTTAGTATAGAAACGCAAGACATTCCTCATTTATTATTGAATTGATAAGTTCATGGGCATGTTTCGGAAAGATCAGAGATGAGCTACACGTGGCCGCGGGTTTATTATAAATAAACTTTTGTAAATTAATATAATTATAAGTAAATATATAATACCCCTAGACAATTCACACAATGTCATCTAGTCCCAATGTAAGTAGATCTTGTGGTATGGTTAGTAAAAAATGTATCTATATTTTTATATCAGTTGTCTAGGACTCATAGCTTTGGACTAAATGGCGCTGTTTGAATTCAAACGATATGTTTTTTTAATAAACTATTCACAAAGTCATATTGATTATGTATGCCATTTGTAATAAATATATTTAGTTACAAGAATATCGAATACCATTGTCTAAAATGTTAGCTTTGTGACCTACATATTTATATAAAGTACATATATATATATGTCACTCATTAAACTATGACAATCTATTGTACATATCACTTTCAATGATATCAGGTTCATAGCAGATGTTGAGTGGTCCATACTCCGTAGTGACCGCCTCGGGCTGACATCTCTCGGGTCTTAGTCGTGACCAACCCAACTCTATTCATTGTTAAAACGTTTGTTCTTAAACCTAATTAATGTATTATGTTAAAACTGTAGCTATATAATAATAAATAAATACACAAACGGTTGTAATGGACATAGAAGCAAAGATTGTGGTATTTAGGATGGTCACAGAAACAGATTTTGAAATAAAAATTATGTTATACCATTACAGTTTATATATGCAGTAAATTAATTAATTATATGATAATCACATTAGATATACATATAATTGAATAATAGATTCATAATTAATTAACGTAAACCATTCGAGTCGCAACGCCTGTCGTAATATAATAGCAGAAGTCAAATAGGTACACATTTGCTTCATCTAGAAAATTGTCATCGCATATTATTACACAGGTCCTTGGTCCTCCGCTTCTAGCTATATATATCGCTGATAATAAATATTACAATGCTAGAATATATATTTATTTAAATATCATATATTTAAATTTAAGAAAATCATTAATTATATAATATTAGGCAAAGAATAATGCGTATTTAAGATATTTTAGACAGGAATACAAAAAGAAAAGTGCACGTAGAAAAATGAACCCTAAGATATTTAGTAATGTTAATTATAAGTTGTTGTTTTAAATTAACGCATTTAAGTTGTCGTTGAACAATATTTTAATAAAATACTGATATGGTTCTGATTTGAACCAAACAATGGACTTATGTTGACAAGAATGTACTATTCCGACTTTTTGCTATCAAAAATAAGTAGGCGTTATTATAATTATATTTGAATACTTAAATTAAATATGAAGTTACCTAATTTTCTAATCTTATACCAGAAGTATAAATATAAAATCAAATTTTAACTGTTTTGTTAAGGAGATGGACGCATATATGAATCTGTATGTTGAGAATGGACCATAAAAACCGGATAGATAGACTTAACCAATTAAGTGTCAATACACCTCATCTTCAGATACTTTGGTCTGTTGGAACTGATAGTTCCGCTGTTATATAACGGTGCTGCTCGATTGTCACTAATGCCACGTGATACCATAGTGCACATAATGAACATTTCATGCCTCTATTATAGTTATAAAAACCGGTAAATCCCATGATATCTGTGACAACGGATTGGACAATATCTATCTCACAGTTATTGTAATCATTGCAAACTTTTGTAATTCATCATTTTAAAGCCAAAGGGTAATAGTTCAATTAGTCAATTATAAGTTTTATAATATTTTAGTGAAATCGTATTTACTTTACGACCTAATAACTAGTGAGTACGCGGTATCCGAATAATATTATAAACGCAATCGTTTGTGAGAATGTATTGATGTTTGTTACTTTATCACTCCGGAATTACTGGACTGATTCGAATGAAATTTGGTCCACATATAAATCATATTTTTTAATTTATGCAAATGTATATTCATGTAGATCATAATGAATATTGTAATACTAATACTATACTTTATTTGCGTATTAACATATAGCATAAAAACACTTGTATACCTGAAGTCACGCAAAGAACACCGCGAGTTACATCTAATAACCGCTTATAATTCAAAACCGCTGTATTTTTACAGCGGTTTTGAAAAATGTACCAATAAACTTATTTTATATAACATCCTACATAATCTAGCTTTGTATATTGGACTCTATTCTGGCAATTAGCCTCTTGTTTGGACGATTGTCATTCCAGTTTTTTATTTATAATAATATTTATTTGACGCTATAATGGTAACCCTGGCGGACTAGCGAAATATAAAGGTGAAATTAGTCATTGTTCTCATCGCATCCCATTTTTTATATATTCCTGGCACAGTAATAAAAATATCAAAGCATCCCGAATAATTTAGACAAGTTAGTACTGGCCACAAAATCGAAAGCTTAGAAAGCCAAAAGGCATACACTAGATACCTTCTTTGGCCATGGGGTCATTGATATTGATAGATTTATCTGCTCTACATAAACGCAAGTTGCGATAATTTAAATCGATGCAGAATCGATTAATCATTCCGATACCGATGTCATGATATCGATTTTGGGGACAGCGAATTATAATAAATGATAGTTGATAATGGTAGCTTAGTTTAGCAGTTAAGTTACAAATTTACTTGTAGGTCACAATCTTAATCGCAATCTATTTAAAGATTTGTAATTAGATGACTGATGATATTATTGCATATATTTGCAATATATTTGCATATATTTTTTTGGTTTTCTTTTTAAAATGAAGAACCAGCCGACTGACAGATTATGATGAAATAATGGATACAACTGCTAAACGACTGAAGTATCTAAGTTTTCAATTTATGTACTGCCAGTACAAACAATGCCGGTGGAATACCAGTAGACCGTTTGATAAATAAAGCTGTAAAATTTTATTTAGTATTTGCTGTCATTTTACCGTCAACTTAATAACAAAAAAATATTTCGAAATGTATAATACGACAGAAAAAACACAGCAGTAATATACAATCATATAGTTATAAAAATATTTAGTTACTTTAGTATGAATTAATTTTTAATAATTAATTACAATAAATTACTACTCAATCTGAAAAAAAACATTTCAATCATCAAGTTTATTTGAATAAATGATTGTCTATTCTATTCTATTCTATTAATTCAATAATTAATTAAGGACGGTAGGGAAAAAAATTATAATATAAAAAATTTGAGGATCATAAATTACTTAAATTTCCTACATGAATAAATTATTTTCTATGATTACGATAAAATAAAATCAAAAATTAAATATATAAATATAGTAACCTATAAATTCTCGATACAGTAAATTTCAAGTTGTACAACGTATAACACCTATAATTTCTACATACATGATAATGTAATATTATCCTAACTTTAACAGTCAGTGGTTTGTCCTTGCAGTTACTGCCCGCTCTACCGTTTACCATTCGTCCGGATAACTGCCCCAGTTCTCATGCCGACTACTACTTAATAGGAAGTTCTGATTTACTGCCGTAATATTACTATTTCATTTTATTGATATTACTGTTTGAACTTTATTCAGTAAAATTTATATTTTAATCACAATACTTTAGTGTTAAGTTTATTTTTTCAATTATAGTTTACAATAGAAACAACTAATAGTTATTAAATCTATTGTCTAACTATATGTATAAAATAAATACAAAATATAAGAAAACAAACTAATACCTAAATAATTATACTTTGTGCTTCGCACAACTATGCACAAGTGACACAGCTTATTTAGTACTAGTTTCTTCGTACGAAGCGCTTCGTGTAATTATATATAGATATTTCTTATAATATATTTCTTCGTATAATAATGAACTGCACTCAAGTAAGTTCGATTGGAATCGAAAATCGAAATCGAAGGATTTTCATTTTGTGTGTAATGTATTTTTTTACCTTCCACTTGACGTGAGGAAAATACATTTGTATTATTTTTGTACCACCTCAAAATATTGAAACAACCGATTTATAGATACCGGCAAAATATTAAAGCGCCATTCTTATACTACGTGACCTGCGCAGTACCAATTTGTTATTTATACTCTATTCTCCAACAATACGAGTAATATAAAAGGTTTAGTCTCCAGATTCCTCGTATATTTTAACAATGTTTTATATACACAGTTATATAGGCTGTGGCACTACCATAATTAAAAAGTAATTAAGGGTACCTTATTGTTTTGAAGCCATAACATTTACAGTTGTACCAAAGAGAACTAATGTAAACAAGTATTTCACATGCACCAGAAAGTATTACACTAATTATCTACAATAAATAAAAGAATAATATATATTCTTATTTCATATATTAGTTAATAAAGACTTGACCAGTGCGAGGCAATAACAATAAATCAAATAATACGAGACGTCGTAAATTATATAATTATATCCCAATGTTTAAGTTCACGCTTTATTGTAAAATAACATAAATTCAGCCATATTCCTTACGATTGCATCGATAAAATCGATATCGATTGTAATAAATCGAACATTACCCACCTACTGGCGCCGCACTAGTCATGCAGAAGTTGTGTAAGCAAGCACGTACATA